CCAGCACTCATCTGAAACGCCACAGGTATAAATCAGGGCTCCCTGAAAGGGGAATTGAGATCCTTCCTCCTCCTCCTCCTCTTCAGCATCCTGCAGCCAGGTCAGCACAACTTCACTGCTCTGGGTGCCCTCGCCAGGCAGGCCTGAGCACTGTCCCTGCACCACTCCTCCTGAAAGGAGTGTTCATCCAGCAGGTGTTCAGCAAGTGCCTTTAATGTTATAGGCACTGGGTTGGGTGCTGGCAAAGTGAAGATAAATAAAGCAAATTCCATGCAGTCAAGCTGCACTAAGAGTCTGATGATGGAGCTAACCCACACATTCAAATATTTGGGGAAAAAATGAGACAGGAGACAAAAGAAGTGTGTAGAAAGAGTTAGGTTGAACCATATGAAATCACCAATATTCAACCATTTGGGAACTCCATAACAGTAATTTCATATGGCTCAACCTAATACAAAGGGAATGCTAAGGAACCATTAATATAAGTTGCAGGATGGCTGCAAGGGAGTCTTGGAAAGTCATAAAGAGGTCAGAGAGTTTGAGCCATGTGCCAAAGGACTTTGAGAACAATCTGGGCAGAATAGCAGGTGCTGAAGCCAGAGACAGTGGATGGCACTGTGAGAGACAGGTGGGTGATGAGTTGTTGGTGGGAAAGTGGAGTCAAGTGTGTGTAGGCTTCTAAGATGTTTGAAAGAGAAGGAAAAAAGGTGAGTAGTCATTAGAAAAGCAAACCCGGGGTCAAGAGAGTTCTTTCTCTGAAAGGAGGTGGAGGCACAAGCAGGTCTATAAAGACAGGAGCTTCTGGAGAAATATAAGGTGATGATCCACTCAAGAAGGAATGAGATTCCAGGAGGAGGCAGGAAGGGCAGGATTAAGCACGGTTAAAAGATACAGGAGCCAGCTTTCTCTAGAGTCGGTAAAGGTGAAAACAGATACAGGTACGTGTGGGGAAAGTGGAGTGGAGAGCAGAGGTTGGAGAAGGTCTTGCTGAACGGCTCTAGGCTAGGATGCAAGGTCTTTCCAGGAAGTATTGAGGAGGTTGGGTTGAAGAGCATGCTTGAGGGAAGTGGCAAAGCCCTGATGTGCCCACTGAGGAATAGAATCAGAAATTGGTGGTGGACAAAAGAAAAGATAGTTGAGAATGCTCATGGCCCAGCCAAGATGAGAAGCCATAACTTCACAGTAAGATTTGTCTAAGTGGCCCCTGGCAGCACTCATTTGGAGGCAGAGAGAGAAGTTGTCATCATTGCAGGGATGGGGATGCACTCAGAACAAGGGGGAAGTTAAGAATGGCATCAGTATGGGAAGTCCACCCTAGGTAGACAAGGAGTTAAGAGGAGGACAATAAAATGGGAGAAGCAGGAAGAGTGAAAGGGTCTGTGGGTCTTGTTATAGTCTGAGAGTGCTATAAGGGGAGTGGGAGAGGTGCGTGGAGCAGAGGTGAAGGTCCTTATAGGAGAGGAGGCCCACACGTTGGATGGGACAGGTGAATGGAGGGTTGGTGGGGCAAGTGGATGATGGAGGGTGAATGGAGAGCAAGTGGATGGAGTGGAGGTGAAGGTCTTCATGTGAGAGGAGGTATACAGGTCGGATGGGGCATCCCAAAGGGCTGAATTTGTGCCAGATGATGTCTCTGATCTTCACTTCAGTCGCACATTCTTCTAACACCTTGGGAACTGAAACCATTGACTCAGTTTCTTTTGGAGCATCATCCTTTTAACCCTCTTTTCCATGATCTAATATGATGTTCTTTACATAGACGTTTATGGGTGAACTAAAACTCGTATATTTGTATTAAATAGGGTGTCATGGGGAATCATTTGCTTTGGTTTGGTCTGTCCATCTGGACAGTGAAGTAAGGCTTTTAGAATATATCAAAGGCAGCAAAAAATCCTAATTCTGACTCCAATCTCCTTTCAATAAATAGGAAACTTAAAACCTGTTCAAGATCACAGTAGAAATCAGAGCTCCCACATGTGGCTGCCTGCTGTGCTCCAGTGTGACAAGACTCAAATGGTTTGGGCCACAGTCACCCTGTCAGAGCGCTTTACCCAGAGAGGGCTGTTTGGTCTTCTAAATTTCTCCTAAAGCATGAACTCTCCAATGACTAAAACTTTAGTCATGTTGCAAATGGGAAGAAGTGTGTAATATGTCGTATAATGAAGATATGACCTGTAATGCAAGGTCATTTATTTCTAAATCACCTTGTTCCAGGAAAGCACCAGTTAGAAATCCTGATCTTTTGAATGATACTTAATCCAACACTCTCACTTCTCAATTCCATGGCCTCCTCAGCTACACACTACCGTGACCGTATTCTAGACTTTGTTCATCGTTACCCATAAACTCCGAGATCTCTATATTGCACAACCCACTCTCTGACAACCACCGTCTAACTTTCCAGATGACTTAGTCTGGTAAGTAATTGGTCCCATTGAAACCTCCAGTCCACATCTTCAATGCCTACCACCTCTTTCACTTATCCAGTTTGGATTTTGTGGTCTGTCATTATAGGCACTTCCTTGCTCCTTCACTGTACTCTCCAAGCAAAACTTCATCCCTGGTAAACCCAATTCTCCACTTCCTCCACGCAGGGCAGCTGAACATAGCTGGAGAAAATCCTCGTCTCTCTGTCATGGTGTTATTTTAAATTTAAGACCACAAATCTAAAGTGGATCCTTGATCTGCCCTAGTAAATTTACCCTCCATCTCCTCAAGATAACTATTTTGTTGCTGTCATCATTCTCCAAACCTCTAAGACAGCTTCTTCTTCATTCTCAGCTAATGATCTTTCTTCTGACTTCATAGAGGGAGCAGCACCAACCAGAAGATCACCACCTCATCCTCCCACCACCAAATCTACCATCCAGCCTTTATCCTGACCCAGTGCCATGCCTTCCCTGCAGCTGAGTGACTGCCTCTGCTCTCATCCAAGGCCCGGCTCTGCAGCTGTGCACCAGACCCCACCCCTTCTGTCTTACTCAAGGGCTAACTTCCTGCAATTGTCCCCTCTCTCCCATTTGTTTTTTTCCCTATCTATTGGATCCTTCCCATCAGCATCTATGCATGCTGTATTACTTCTCATCTTTAAAAATACTTTCCAGTGACCCCAGATCCCCCTCTAGCTATTACCTCATCTCTCAGCTCCTCTTCACAGCTATTCCTCCAAAGAATTGCTGCATGATTGCTCCTTGTCCTCACCACCATTCTCTCTTTCAACTATTCCTGTGAGGCCTTTGTCCTCACCGCTCCACTGGCTATTCTTCTCAAAGTCATTGGCATTCAGCTTGCCAAATCCAGTGGCCGGTTTTCTGTCCTCATCTCATGTGACCTCTGGCAGCTGATAACCGCCTCCTCCTGGAAATACTTTCTTCCCTTGGCTTTCAGAACACCATAGTCTTCTACTTTCCCTCTGCCACATTAATGACTCCCTCCACTTGTCCATCTCCTCCAGATTCCTAGTTTTTTTGGAGTAGCTAAGACTAAGTCATCTACTCTTTTCTTTTTGTTATCTACCTTTTCTTTATAGTGATGTCAACAAGTTCATTACTTAAATACTTAAATATTTTCAGTGTGCTTATTACCCTTAAATTTCTATCTCCAGCCCTAACTTCTCCCCAAACTCAGGTTCATATACCTAAACTTACATTCAGTATCTCTATTGAGTGGCTTAGAAAAATTTATATCTCAAAATTTATACATCCAAAGAGTGATTCTTGCTCCCCCCAAAACAAAACAAAACAAAAAGTTGTTCTTCCCTCAGTCTTCTCTTTCTTTTACTTTTTATTTTTCCGTTGTTCTTGTTGAGGAAGATTGGCCCTGAGCTAACATCTGTGCCAGTCTTCCTCTGTTTTGTATGTAGGTTGCCGCCACAGCATGGCCACCGGCGAGTGGTGTAGGTCCACCCCTGGGAACCGAACCCAGGCTGCTAAAGAGGAGCGCGCTGAACTTAACCACCAGGCCGTGGTGCCAGCCCCTCAGTCTTTCCTTTCTTAGTAAATAATTTCACCATTTTCTGACTTGCTCGGGTCACAACTCAAGGAGCCATTCTTGATGCTTCTTTCTCACACCATCCCAAATTCTATTGGCTCTACTTCAAAAATATATCCTGTATCAGCCACTTTTCCCCACTTCCACCAGGACCGTCCTCGTCCCTGCCACCATCATCTCCTGCCTTGACCACAGAGATAGCCTACTAACCAGCCTTCCTGCGTCCATTCCTGTCACCTCATGCAGCAGGTAGAGCGCTCTTTTAAAAATAAAAATCAGATCATTTTTCTGCCTGAAACATGCCAACAACTTCCCATAATGCTTGGAATAAAATCCTTGCGTGGCTTACAAACCCTGCAGGTTCTGGCCTGACTGTGTCTTTGACTTGAAGCCTGACTATCTTCCCCATCACTCTCTCAGTTCCAGTCACACTGGGCTCCTGTGTGCTCCCCAAATACCCACAAGCACTCTTGTGTTGAAGGAGCTTGCTGTGCCCTCTCAGAAAGACTCTTCTCTCAGGATCTTGTCTTGTTCTTTCACATTGTCCAGGTATGGCCAGAGTCCAATCCTGTCATCGCGCTTTATTCCCTTGCCTGATTATTTTCCCCCTAGTACTCATCACCCTCTGAAATTATACGATTGATTTGTATATTCATGTGCTTCTTTTCTATCTCCCCCATTTGAATGTAAGGACCACACAGGCAGCAACATTGCTGGCCTTGTTTGTTACTGTAATCCTAGTACCAAAAGGGTCCCGGTGCATAATAGGTGCTCAACTAATATTCATTGAATGAATGAACAAACGTGTGCTGTTCAGTACATACACAAAGCACCTTCCACCATGTTCCCCCTTAAAGCTTACAGCAATTTTGGGGGGAAGATAGGAATCTTCCATGTTACAATGCAATTTTACAGACGAGGAAATGAGGCCCAGAGAGGTTATATGATTTTCCCAAAGTCATATGGCTCATAAGTATAGGAGTTATTGGGACACCAAACTGGATTCTAACTCCTGGTCCTTCTCCCACTCAACAGATTTCCTCCAGCCCTCTCCCCTCAGGGCCCACGCAGCGCCGGCTCAGTGTCAGCGCCAGTATCGGAGGTGAGACGGGGCTCATGAGCTGTGTGCTCCCTGAGGAACTATTCATTCACATCCTGGCCGAGCGCATACAGGTGCGTCCACGCCCACCTGCACAGAGCTGCAGGGCTCATACACGAGCCCCGTGCTGTGAGCTGAGATTCTGAACTGTCGCCCACCCACAACAGCTCAGAACCCAGGGACCCTGCAGAGGAAAGATGTGTTTCTTCACCCAACAGTCATTTACTTCTCCTTTTGGCAGCTTATCAGTCCCTGACCCTGGCTCAGTCTGCTGGCTGTAGCCATTCACCTTCTTAAAGTGCCAATGAGCAGAATGTTACACATTAAAAGAGAAAAGAGGCACAGTACAGCCCTACAGTGGTGTGTTAAAAATTACAATGTAGAGCCATTAAAAGTTAGAATTGAGAGTTATGTTAATTGCTGTAACAATATATTTGGGTGGTGAACATGATGTAATCTATGCAGAAATAGAAGTACAATGATGTACACCTGAAACTTTTACAATGTCATAAACCAATGTTACTGCAATAAACAAAAAATTAAAAAAAAAAAAAAGTTAGAATTGAGAGTTATGTTAATTGCTGTAACAATATATTTGCAATATGTTATTAAGTGAAAATAGCAAATTATGAAATAGTATGTAACGCACAATTACATTTCTATAAAAATATTTATAAATGCATATCACACACAGTAAATACTCTTCAAGTACATGTTAACTGTGGTTATCTTTGGACAGCAGGATTATAGATTTTTAGCCTTCTTGATACATTTCTGCATTATTCTACAATGACATATTGCCTTTAAATTCAGAAACACAGTAACTCCGTTTGTTAAAAACAATTTTAAGTGTTATACCGTTAAAAGAAAACAAGATCAGCAGGATGGGGGAGGTTACCACTTGAGCCTGTTTGCTGCTTCTGTTTTCTAGGGAGCTAAATCGACCACCAGTTCCTGGAGTTGTGTGTTTCGTTTTTCAAACTGATCTACAGTATTAATTGCACAGTTAAATATAACAAAATTAGACTTGAGGTTCCCAGAAGAGGAGGAATGTCATCAGTGGAAATGGTTTACGTTAAAGGTTTATGTTAATGCTCCTGCATTAACGGTAACATCACTCTCAACTGATGTGAGCGAGGGGCTCTAATAAGTGTGCAGGTGTCTCATGCACCAGATTAAAGGCTGAGAGCACTGGTAAAGCCCAAAGTAAGCCAGTCGAGCTGTGCCACTCAAAGTGCTGGTCTTTGCTGAGATATGGAGCTTGCACGGCTTCCTTTGTCCACAAAGTCTTGCTACAAACAAAAAAATGGCAGCTGAACTATTTAGTGATGTAGTTGATTTACGTTCTGACACAAGATTCTTGTCTCATCAAAAACTGGTAGTAATCAGTTCCTGGCCAATGGTGGTCAGTCTACGCACTGCACTTTGAGCAACACTGCAGTAGAGCAGAGGCTGTTCTTCAATGGTTAGTATTATCAAAATCACCACCCTCCAAGGCAGTGATGCCACTCAGAAAAATGCAAACAGCCCATCTGCTACTGCTCCCTTGCTGCCTGTTATTCTGTGGCCGGCGACATCTTTCCTTTGCATCTTCTTTCCCTCCACCTCCTGCATCTCCCCAAACCCTCAGTTTAACATTTTGTTTTTCTTTATTTCCGTAGAGACGGAATAAATCCTTTATTATTCAAATATGTACCATAAAGATCTTTCATGACTGATAAAATCTTTATTCTTTTATTTTATAACAACACCTTGAATTTAGCAGTTGGAAGGGCAGTTTAATGGAATTTTCATCGGGGTCCGGTAGGTCTGCAGAGCCAAGTGCAGCATCAGTAACAGCACCAGCACCAGCAAGCAGCTTTCTCCACAGAGAAGGGAGGATCTATGGCCATGGTAACCGTCTTTGCTCTCTCTGGTTTCAGCTGAGCGACTGCTACCGAGGAGTAGTGTTTGACAGCCTCGAGACTCTCTTTGCTCGGAACGCGGCTACTGCTCTCCTCTGCCTGCTGAAGGCCATTGGCAACCGGGAGCACATCTATGTTCTCAACATGGCCCAGGATTATGTAGCCATGAAGGCCCAGGAGAAAGCCAAAAAGGAGCAAGAAGGCAAGGCCCCATACCCTCCTGGGCTGCCCTTCCCAAGCCCTTACAGGTCTTTCCTTTCAACAGAGCTTTAGCCTTTTTAAAATGCTTCCCTGCCATGACAATCCATTGGGTTTAAATGAAGCTATTACAGCTGCCGTCTCATTGGCGTCCCACCTCTGCCCTGGGCCGTGGCTGGGAGTTCTTATTTCTACTTCGCATATGAGGGAACTGAGACACAAGTGACCTGTTGAGGTTATAGAATGAAGATGAACCCAGCTCTTCTGACAACAGACACACTCCTCTTTCCCCCAATATCGCACGGCACCCTTCACCTTCTCTGTAATTACCACCAACCTGAGGGAAACATGTCATGGGTTCCATCCCAACTCGGGTGACCAATTAGCTTGTTGGTTTTGTTTAAGCCAGCTGTGTGTTTCCTGTAAAACTAGAGGTGCTGATAAACTTTACAAGACGACTTCTACATTTTAACCTACTGTGTACCATGCACCGCAGCAGACATTTTGTGCACTTTAAATGTCTTTAAATGACACTTTGGGTCACTTAATCCTCACAATAACCCTGTGAAGGTTGTTATCCCCATTGTACAGATGAGGAAAATGAGGCACAGAGATATCAAAAGTCTTGTGTAAGATCACATAGCAGATTAGTAAAGTCTGCATAACTCTAAAGCCTTTGCTTTTTCTGTCATTACAGCAGTAGCCTGGAAAAAATTTTCAGTGATTAAAAATAGATACACACACACAGAGTACTGTTAGCTCAAGTTCCCAATTAAGTCAGGCGCAGACCTAGCAAATCTTGGCCCCCAAGGGAGGAGATGACACTGTCTCTGGGAGGCAGCGTCCTGCTCTGGTCTCAGCTTTGCCTACATCACTTCCCTTCCTCACTGGCCTTCCCCCTCTCTTCTAGAACAATCTACACAAATCATAATGCTTTTCCATTTAAGGAAATATTTACAAACACTGGACTCTCTTAGTTGTTAAGCAGAACCCAACCGTTTCCTTATATTCTCATCCACAGAAAAATCAGGAAGAATGACAGGCATCCCCCAGCAGTATTTTGACCTCCAGCTTCCTGGTTTTCCAGAAAGCTCATTTCCCCATAATGACCAACTTGAAAGAAAATATCACTTTTCACTTTCTCAATTATCTTTGGATTGAAATTTCTCACAGCTGCATTATGGGCTCCTCTCCCCTAAATCATCTGCATTTGAAAAAGTTCTAAGGCAGCATAAAGTAACAATATTATCACATGAAAAAAAAATTTTTTTTTAATTTTCAGGAACATGTGGGCTTTATTTATTATAATGAATAATCCTTCAAAAATAAGACCTCCAGTAAAGGAATTGGCTAATACCTATTTCCTATTTCCTGACATACCCTACAAACTTCTACACACACACACGCACACGTGTGCACATACACACACACACACACTTCCAATGATTATAAATGTAGGATTTTGTCATAGACTTGTAAGGTACTGAGAAGGAGAAAGAAATATTGGCAGCCTAGAAAAGAAATAAGCAAATTTGGGGAGAGAGAGAGAATGGATAAAAAGTGCCGTATGTGGAGGCTTCTAACTACAGAAGCATCTTAGGACCCTCTGGTCCTTTCTGTCACTAGCATTGACCATTGAGGCCTCAATACTCACCAGGCTCTGCTCTAAGCACTTGCTATGGATTACTTCATTTAATGCACCCAACAACTCTATGAGATAATTGTACCTCTATCTCCATTTTGTAGATGAGGAAATCGAGGAAAGGAGGAATTAAGTAACTTGCCCAAATGTACATACCTAGTCAATAGTAGAACGAGGACTTGAACCCAGGCAGTCTGATGCCATAGCCCATGCTCTTAACGCCTTATAGCACCTCTAATGATCTGCCACCTCTGGGATTCATTCACAACAAACATTGAGTGCCTGCCTACTCTGTGTCTGACACCCTGCTGGTTACAGGACACAGAAGAATAGACAAACAAGGTCCTGCCTTGGGGGTGAGGGTGATGAATGGAGGGCTCATAGGACAGTGGAAGAACCCACAAATAGACCATTATAGTGCAGTTTGGTAAGTGCTTTAACAGAGGGAAGCGAGGGCGGAGGTGTACCCACAGCTAGAGGGAGTCAAAGGCAGCTTCTCACTGGGAAGGACCTTGACTTGGGCCTTGAAGGACAATGGGAGTTAGATGAGTGAAAATGGAGGAAGGAGGCAGTTTCGGGCAGAGGCTAGAGAACGTAGTGCTTGCAGGGCACTAAGGAGGTTCAAAGAGGGGAGAGTAAGATGAGAAGAAAGTGGGAGAGAGGGGTGAAGCTGGGTGTGTAGATAGAAGCCCTAATGGTTGAGGGTTTTAGCTGGAGATGATTGTATGTCTTTTGGGAGAGAGGAGAGACTCCCCCATGCACTAACCCAGCAGCTCATTTATCTGCCAGCGTTTCTCCAATTGCATGCAGAGCTTCTGATTCAACTGGCCTAGGCCTGGGCACCAGGCATCAGTATAAAATCTAATTTTTATTGAACATTTATGAATGTGCCAGGCACTGGGCCAGGTGCTTTACATAATTGCTTATTTGATGCCCACAACAACCTTATGAAGGAGTAATTATCATTCTTATCTGTCATTATCCCTTAGTAAGTGTCAGAGAAAGAACTCAGGTGCAGATCTCTGAGCTCAAAGCTCAAACCTACAAGAATGTAAGGTGAGAATGTTGTGCAGTGAAGTGTGAAGAAGCCAAGTGTCTTTATGCTGAGTGAGAACCACACTTCTGGACCTGGAATGTGTGGGTGTGGAAGACAGTTCCCCTTGGTCTGCAAGTGGTTCTGTCAC